TAACCCTCCAACGAGACGACTTTTTGGAATTTCAGCCACGACAGATTTACGGTGTATCAGTACCTTCCCATGGTGGGTTTCTAGTGGCATTGATTGATTGATTGATTGAATATTAACGTCGCACTGTTCAATACACGAGGGCTTTTGCAACACACAGCGGAAAAAGGAAAGTGATTGGTAAATGGTCGTGAAAGGAGTAGCATTTTGAATGCACTAATGTTTTGAGATGTAAACATTAGTGCATTCAAAATGAAGTTTTAGAAATGAATCAAATGAAATTTTATCATTCAAATGAAATTTTAGAAAGGAATTAATTGCACAAGAATAGATTGCAATAGATACTAGGCATAACTTAACTTAAATCAGGTTCGGAAAAGCTTAGACTAACCGAACCGAGGGAGAATCGTTTTGTGTTGAGGCATGCTACTGTTGCAACAGCCAATGTTACGGATATCCCACAGAAAATTTACTATTTGTTTACTGCTTCATTGCTGCTGCGACTAAACTCTCATAGATCTTCATGATGAGAGTCTTTTTTGATCATTGCATTCACTTCTAAAGAGTTGGATTGGTGTCAAAACAGATAGATAGGGCAATGAATGGCATCCAGTTGTCTTCATCAAGGCATCGAATCTTGCCTTAGTGGAGAAGATAATCGAATCTATGTGTGCAGGCAACATGGTCAGCGAATTCTTTGAGCTATGTCACATAACTAGGCAGCTTGGTATCGGCGTGGAGAGCAGTTGAGTATTACTAAATCACCTTGGGTGATCCTTGTGTTCCGTTCGATGGGTCAGCACTCCAGTCGAGAAATTCTGTTAGCTCGTTTCGACTGCAATCTCGAACTAGTTTCACTTTGCATTCTATCAACAACAAGACATGGCTCGACTACATATTGCTGCCATCTCTAGAGATGATTTAAAACATGTCCCTAACAAACCGTGACCGGCATTTTCATCAGACCTATCGCTAATTAAGAATGTATGGTATGCAATGCAACAAAGAATCACCCCTCCACTAATGCTAGGTATTATACAGGAACACACAGTCGAAACTTAAGGTATCTGACTCTTTAGAACAAATTTTTTGAACAAACATGGATATATAGGAATTTTTTGTGATTTTTAGATTTATTTAGTATATTTTATGGAAAAATCATAAAATTGGAAACGGAAAATAACAAAAAAATATTATCATTAAAAGGGAAACACAACGGGCGAAAATGTACAAAAAAGTTAATAAACGGATCCCGCTCTGTAGAAATCTTTTTAAACAAATTCTCAATTTTTCAATTTTATTGTGTAACTTCGCTATTCATGTTTGAAATGACCTTCCGAATAATACATATTTTAATTTTTACAAAAATTATAGAGCACTCTTTTTAGTGACTATATTAAACTGCTTAAAAACAGTGATTATATTCACATTGAAAGAACATAAATTTCGAAATAAAACAGTGATTGATAAGTCTGAAGTTGAAAACACTTCTACTGTTAAATAAAACATTCAGAAAAAATTACAGCAAATTATTTTCAAAAATTTTGAGCAAACGCTGTCCCCGTTTGAGTTTTACGGAAAAAACACATTTCGAGTAAAACGCATTTTAAGAAAACTTGGTAACCTTTGAGCTACTTTCTTTCTTTATGTATTTAAAAATTATTTTTTAATATTTTATATAGGTTTTCTATATTCCACAGAGAGAGAGTAAATGATACGAGATGAAATTTTTTCACATATTATTCACACAATCTTAAAAATTAAAATTATTTGAAGAAAATTTGGAAAGTTTTAAAATCCTACTCCTTCTGTAATTATTAATTTTTTAACCTGAATTTTTTTTGTGATTTTGTAATGGATGTTATTAACAACTTTAAGGATCGATTTTACAATAAGAAATTTTGTTTTTGAGAAAAAAAATAAAATGTTGATATACATGCTAAAAAACAAAGAAAAAGCCAATGTCTCTTACATTATTTTTTTTTAAAAGTATTCTGTTTACAGTAAAATGGATCCCTAATTTTGTTACATGCTGTATATGCAACACACAGCGGAAAAAGGAAAGTGATTGGTAAATGGTTGTGGAAGGAGCAGCATTTTGAATGCTCTAATGTTTCGAAAAACCCAAACTGATAAAAACCACTTTAAAGTTTATAATTCCGAAAAAAAATTACTATAAGATTAAAATACCACTTTAAGATATTTGTTATACATTTTTCTTGAAAATAATAGTATTTTCGTTTTTTTTTCAACCCATACATTTTTATAAATGATCAAATTTTGGAAGGTATTAATTGCACAAGAAAATTCAAGCTAAATGTTAAAAAAAAAATTTTCCGTCACGCCATAAAGTTTTTAGTTTTTTTTTCTACACAATTTTGAAGTACTACATTTATATGAAAAACATATCAGGAATAAGAACTGAAATTATATTAAATTATTAATTTAAATGCCTTTATTGAAATGTTTTACATGCACACATTTCACAAAGAAGAAATATTACATTATTGTATTGCCACGAAAATATTCTGCTTTATATATTACACCTTTTTTTATAGTTATTATTTCTCCTTATTAAATAGAGATTTTTTTAGCTTTTTTCTAAAAAGGGGGCATGTCCAATTTGCCTAATTTGTTTTCAAATGAAGTTTCCTTCATTTTTCTAACTTTCCGACTTTCACAAATGATATATCAATCGAAAGATTATAATTCTAAGAATAACACTAAATAAATAAAAAAAACGATAGATCGGTCATTTTTGGGGTACCAAGTCCTCTTAATGTTCGACATTTTGAGTAAAGTTATGGCACCTTCTGTATTTAAAACAATTGTAGTTTTTGTTCTAGTGATGGAAAACAAAAAGCTTGATATTTTTATTAAGCTAGTAAGATGACCTACAAAATAAAATCATAAAAATAATTTGTCAATTTTTGAAAAAAATCAGGACTTTTTTGCTAGTTGGATACCTTAAGTAGAGAGACAATCGCTAGATTTCATTAAGAATTTCTACGTGCAATATACATTATTTGTATCATTCACTACAAATTTCAATATTTCTGACAATTCTTTTCAAGTGTTTCTTTATTTTGTTTTATTGCATTTAGCAACTAAATATTAGTACTTGAAGTTTGAATAAACGTGTTACGTAATAGGCGAGAGATTACTTTATATAATGCGAATCACATGAGGAAAAAAATACATTTATAAACCTTGTACCTATATTTAATATACTGAAGTAATTTTGCCAACAAATGCATTCTTATTTTGCATCTAGTTTTATACGTTAATTTACAAGCAAGTACGAAAAATAAAAATAAAAATGTCTGGGTAGTGATTTTGCAAAACATAAATATTTAACTCCCCATTTGTGCAAATCTCTTTGAAAAAATAGTGCGTATGCAAAATACAGTATTAAATAACTCGATCTGATGCAGGTGTTGCGTTAAATGTCAAAGGGCAGAAAGATCGAAATTGCGTTTTAAAAACTCTTTTGAGTCTTGGAATTTTGAAAAAAAAATATTTATTCACATCACATTCATAAAATTCAGCAGCATAGAAGAAAAAACATCAAATATGATTGAAAGTTGATTCAATTATAAATTTGGAATTACAGAAGGGACATGTAAATCATATTAATTTGAAAATACTGTTATAAGCTAATATGAAATTAAATAGCTATTTAATATGGAATGAAATACTTCTATAAATTAATATACTATTAAATACTCAGATATATTAATAGGAGATCCAATATTCTTTGATATATTAATATTAAATACTTGATACGATAATTAATTTTTATGCGTTAGTAAGAAGACTAAACTTCACGAGTGATTTTAAAAAATTCTGAATTACGTTTCTAAATGAAGTCTTGAAATAGATATGTTTAAGGATAGAATATTTAAAGGACACACATTCAAAATATTTTTGAATGTTTTATACTTTAGTTACATTATAATAACTAAATTAAATATTAAATAGTATAGTAATGTGGTAGGATATATTTAAATGAACAGATGTAATAAAATAAAATTGAATTTATGGTAAATATCGGAGCAATTATTTTTACAAAAGGAGATTGTTTCAAAAATATAGTATAAGAAAAGGGAATTTTTCTAAATAATTTTTTAATTATTTTTTTTCTTTAAAAATTTTACTTATACTATCACTGAAACAGAAAATATTATAAAATATGATGATTCAAAACTCATACATGGACTGAAAATCTGTTATTATTCATCCTCAAAATTTTCGATATTGAATGAGTTACATTGAATCATTCTTATTCAATATAATCTTTAAGAAAACACTCTTGATGAAATTCTATTCAGAAATACGGTGTTGTGGCAAATAGATAAAATTGATTAGGAAAATTCTTATGATACTTAATATGGGCTCAATTTAATTTCACACAGGGATTCATCTTCCAATTTTAAACTCTCAGTGCAAAATTCTTCACGTTCTAATGCTTTTCCTTAAAACTGTTGTGAATTGTAAAGGTTTATGTTGACACCAGTAAGAAAACATCAATTCATTTTTATGATTGATTGACTGGATATTAACGTCGCACTGTTCAGCTACACGAGGGTTTTTGGCGACGGACCACGTAATTTTGAACCATGGTCAAGTGACGTAGACGACACCTAAGCTTTCACCCCCCTCTTCTAACTATCATATCTCCCCAACGGGAGGACGTTTCAGCTCACGACAGATTTAAAATGCATCGCTGCCCTACACGGCGGATCTTTAATGGTACTGGGCTCGAACTCGTGACATGGCAAGCCACGATCCGACACGTATACCACACGGCTACCGCGGCCACTTCATTCGTATGTTGAAAAAATGTTAAAGCCAAAGAATGTACTTTGTGATTCTAACACAAGATACATTGATGCGTAAAGAATACAGGAGGGAAAGGTACTTTTTCAAAATCAAAATAAAATCATTGTATGCATTCGAAATCAGCTCTAAAATAGAACTGCATCCGGGAGTAAATTTTCTCTCGAGCAGAAGGGGACATCGAATCACTCTCACTATCACCAGCTACGGGCTTGAAGCCCATACACCGGACCACCAATGCTCATCTGGGCACAGAACAGCCATTGATTGCTTTCTTTTGTAACAAACATTAAACATTAACATAAAAATAGTGGTTGAAAACATATTCTGTACCCTTCCGTACGTTCTCATAAAAAGCTACTGTATTAAGAGATCAACCCGATTATAAAAGTAAAATATATTGGTCTAATTTTGCGCTTGTCTAAATTGAAATGTTTCTCCAACTGCTGGTATGAAAATAGGATTCAGTTTCCTTCATAAATAATGAATGTGGGAAAACCCACTTCATCAGGAATCAATGAGATAAATTCTCAAAACAAGAACAAATTTATTTGCATAATGTTGTTCCAATTCCCAACATAAAATACTAACGTATTTTCCACATAATTTTTATAAAACTATTCAATGAGACTTGTCAATTCATTTCTAATTTAAACGCTTCTTACTAGTAAGGAAGAATCATTAATACAGTGGAAAAAATGCATCTTGGAATTCTACTACAGTTTGAGGCATAGTCTTTGGACATAAAGGTACTGTTTCAACAGCAAAACAAATACATTACGTTTTCGAAATCAGATAAAAATATTGTTACACTTATTGGTAAGCTAATTTAAATTTTGCAAAGCTAGCAGTGAAATTTATGTGTCGAGGAGGCATGAAGACGAAAAACAGTTTCTTAAAATTGGCCTTTAATAATCAATCATAAAGTCACTCTGCTCGTTACTGGAGCGATAAAAACAATAAGTTCAAAAAGCAACATTACCAGAGACATCCGATTCGAACCGTCTTCTAATATTATAAAATTAATTTCTAATCTAAAATGGTGATGCAACCTGCAGTTGCATTGCCAACCAGTTGTTCTCTCCCTCTAAGAGTTAAACCACTCACATACTTCTTATATTTCCGTTTCTCCTTCCTTTTCAAAAACTAACATGAGCCGAGTTTAAATACTAGCTCGATTTGCATGGCAGTTGCTGCCAACCTCAAATCACGAAACTCAAAAAGATCGGGTTCGAATCGGTGTGCTTACTTTCATTGAGATCATGGAACGGGATTGGAAAAACAACACAAGGAGATCATAAAAAATTTGGATCCGATTTTTTTAAATGTCTAACAATCGGCCCCCTTTTTCCAATCTCTCGTACCATTATCTCTTACAAATCAGTAAATTAATTTTAATCTATAATCACATGTTATACAATTTAACACAAAAAATACATTTTATTCACAATCTTTATTGTAATAAACAAACTAATATTTTAATCTTAAAGAAACAAAGTCTTATTCTCTAAAAGGAAATAATTTTCTACAAAATTCAAACAATTTTCCTTTACCATGGGTTTGGTAAAAATGTCCGCCAAATTATTTTGGTACCTATATATTTAATTTGGAAAACCTTGTCGTATATCAAATTCCTTAGAAAATGATAACGAACATCGATATGTTTTGTTCTATAATTTTCTACCGGTGACTTTGAAAAAACTTATAGCAGCTTGATTATCACAAAACATTACATTTTCACTTAATTCCAAATTTAAACTTTTATTATCAATTACATTCTTTAGCCAAATGAATTCCTTAGCTGCTTCTGTTAAACTAACATACTCAGCTTCCATGGTCGACAGACTAACTGATTTTTGCTTGAAAGTTCGCGATGAAATTGGAGTTTCGTCTATAAAAGTTATGAACCCTCCCATTGACACTCGATCATCCCTATTTGTAGCAAAATCTGTGTCTGAATAACATCTTAGTTTTAATGATTTAACTTTTGAAAGTTCTAATTTGTATTCTTGAAATACCTCGTCAAATGACTCGCCTCGTAATTGTGTGTTACCTCGCGCAACTAAGCGGGCCTTGTATCTAACAATTTTATTATTTTCATCATATTTAATGGTATAAACCCAACGGTTTTCTAAAATTTTTATATTATCCGGATGATCAACTAAATCCCAAACTTTACGTTCCTTCATTACGTTAATTTCTTTATCCATTGCATCATGCCATTTAGATGCGTCTCTGGATCTTATCGCCTGTTTGTAACAGTTAGGAATAGTTACTTCAACCATAAGAGCTTCTTGTTGCTCTGACAAATCTGAAAATCCCTGGGATTCGGTATTATCTTTTCTAAAATTAAATAAACTAGGATCATACTCAATATTATGCCTCTTACAGTATCTCTCCTCTTACAGTAGATTTCAATCGGGTTGCTTCCCCTTCTATACTATAATATACGTTAGATCCAGTTACTTTCCTACCTATATTTCGAATCCACTTAACCTCTGTACATGGGATCAAGCTATGATTATCGGAAGATACATCTGGTTTTTCAGATGTTGAGGGCGTTTCCGTACTTGTCTTTGAAACTAAACGACTCGTTAATGAATCTTTTACTCTATCGGAATCATCCTCATCATCATAATAATCACTAAGGTTTAAATTATATCCAAGGTTACTATTAACTTTTTGTCAAAAATTAATTCCCCTCTTATTTTCATCGAATCTTACATTAATAGTCTCGACTAATTTATTTTCATCTATCAACCATATTCTATAACCCTTAGTACGTTGTGCGTATCCCATCATAATTCCTATTTTCGCACGCATATCGAATTTTTTTCTAATTTGTTTTGGCACACCAGCGTATGCCAAACATCCAAAAGGTTTTAGATGCAATATCGATGGTTTTCTACCTGAATATTTTTCGAAAGGCGTTTTGTTACTGTCTTTGTGACAAATTCGATTCCACGCATAAGTGAAACAAAGTAATGCTTCTCCCCAAAGCTTATGGGGAACTTCACTAGATTTAAGCAATGTTTTGATGCCATCTAGAGCGGTTAAATTGAATCTCTCCGCGACCCCATTCATTTCTGGCGTATATGAATTTGTTACCTCATGCTTTATACCCAGTTCTGTCAAGAAATTATCCATATTCTTATTACAAAATTCTAGTCCGCCATCAGTTCTAACTGCTATTACCTTTTTACTTAGAAAACGTTCTGCTCGTTTCTGAAATCTTATAAACGTATGAAATGCGTCAGATTTATTTCGGATGGGAAATACAGTCACCTTTCTTGAATAATCGTCAATTATACTCAAGAAATATTTATTACCGCCTTGGCTTTCAGTTGGCATTGGACCACAGAGGTCCATATGCAACAATTCCAATGGACGTTTTGATCCTACGGCCCCCGTCTTTTTAAATGAAACTCTCTTGGACTTTGCTAATTTACACGGTATACAATGAGTCTTACCATTATCAGTTAAGCGTGGGAGACCTTTTACACTATCATTTTTACTAGTTTTTACCAAGTAATCGTTATTAACATGACAAAAGCGTTGATGCCATATTTCTATTGATCCGTTTTTTGTTTTAGCGGTTACATCACTAAAAACTAATTTCTTTACTCTTTGGTATAATATAATGATCTGGCTTAAAAAAATACAAATGTTCATGGCGTGTCGCCGAGAACAATTTTATCCAGTCTTTATTAAAAACATTAATTTTACCTTTAGTACCCACAAAATGCGCACCTTTACTTTCTAATCTGGAACCGGATAATAAATTTCTCCTCAACTTAGATTAAATAATACATCAGTCAAAGTTATTTCATGAAAACTCCCTTATATTTTACCCGAAATCTAATGTACCTGATTCCTTCTACGGGACAACTTTTATCCTTCGTTGCTAACGACATTTTCATGTTAGTTATCGGTTTAAGATCTAAAAATAAACTCTTGTCATTACAAAAATGACTCGTGGCAGCAGTATCTATTACCCAAAGACCTTTATCAAACTCTGTGTTAAAAGTTTCATTTACATTTGAAGGAGATTTTTGTAGAGACTTTTTCTCTTTACAGTTTACTTTAAGATGTCCGTATTTATTACATACATAACACGGGCCTATAGTCTTAATAGATTGTTTAACATTTTTAATAGTTTTACAGTTAAATACCTTACCACTTCTCTTTTGGTAATCATTCTTGCCATTTGGATCTCCATGAGCTGCAGCCGTAGCACCAGGTAACGTCTTCGACTTCTTCGAAGTGAAACTGCTCAAGTAAGCATTCTCCGCTTTCTCCAAATCTTGTTTCATCAACTGAAGACGATTGGCTTCTAATATCAGCTCTGCTTCAATTTTGACAACTCTGAAGTCCTCTTCTTTCCATCTGTAGATTTGTTGCACGGTAGACTGGAATTCCTGAGGAAGCCACCTTATTAATTGAAATCCTATGTACAGGTCGTCCAATTTATGACCCGCTTCTTGTAGTCTGGTTGCCGCTGTCTTTACACGAGATATGAAGATTCCAACATCTTCCCCTGGTTGGTATTTTGTTCCAAAAAATTGATCTAATAATTGAATTACTCTTGCTCTTGTGACTGGTTCGAAGTGATCTTTTAATATCTTCCATGCCGCTACTCCGTCAGTTGTTTCCGTTATCAGATTTTTCAAATCTGAACTGATGTTAGTATAGATCAACGTATAACATCTATCCTTACGAAGTTGTAGATCTAATTTTTTCCTTGTATGTTGCTTCTTCATCAGGTTGCTCTGGCTTGGTCTGTACTATAAACTGCCAGCAACCATAATGCATTAAGAGTACTTGCATATCATGCTTCCACGTGTTCCAGTTATTTGGAGTCAACACTGACATCTTGTTGTTAAACTCCATACCTGTTACTCGATTTAGCGTACTAGCAACAGAGTTCATAAAAATAGTTCTAGACTGGAACAGTATTTAAATAGACAAAGTTCATGGCCTGGTTCAACTGCTTAGCCTGCCTCGACACAGTACATGGCCTGGTTCAACTGCTTAGCCTGTCTCGACACAGTACATGGACTGGTTCAACTGCTTAGCCTGTCTCGACACAGTACATGGACTGGTTCAACTGCTTAGCCTGTCTCGACACAGTACATGGACTGGTTCAACTGCTTAGCCTGTCTCGACACAGTACATGGACTGGGCCCATAACCAAATTTGTTACACTTATTGGTAAACTAATTTAAATTTTGCAAAGCTAGCAGTGAAATTT